TAATGCTTTGAAATGCTTTGCATTGAGAAACTCGTGATACAGAGGAAGTACCAAATAAACTCTCAATGTTTCAACATCAGGCGAGATGGTAACAAGGAAGGTATCACATCTGTAGTAATACATTCAAAAATCTGAAAAATTTATATTTATTTTAATTTTGTATAAAAGATATTGTTGAGAATGGTATGGAGGGTAATAATTTACTATAAATAAATTGATTTTCAATTATCACAACTGATATAGTATACAGTAAGATTTACAGTATCTATATATACTAATAAAGTAAAATATTAAAATTCAAAGCAGTTTGTAAAAAGTATCAGCTTGGCTTAAAATTATTTATTTCAATCAAATTGTGCATCATAAAGAACAAGCAATTACAAATTACATTAACAATGTTTTTATTAAACTTACCAAGTCTTTTAATCTGCTATTGTGAAGTAAGGCTATACTATTAAATGCCTTGTGTGCACTATTAATTTCAACTCCATGATGTTTAGATGTGCAACAAAGTGATCAAAATTAGGCAGCAAAAACGAGCCATTAAAGCATGCCTGACTTCGAAAAACAGTTTCTATGTAGCTGATCAATTCCTACAATGTTCATAATTTATTTTGAATTATAAACATTTATATCTGAAGAAAATATTTGCCTCACATCTTCTTTTTCCCTTTTTGATATATTCAGCATTTTTGTAATCTGTTCAATGTCAATAGTAATAATTTGAAAAGCAGGATTGGGCCGACGTAAATCCTCTGATTGTGACATCATCCCCATGTTTTCGTACCGTTACGAAGCAGTGATCACCACCAGCAAATATTCTATGTACTATTAGGTCTTCCTAAAACAAAATGAAGTTACATCTATCTACATCTACCTACATACATATGTACATCTATACATTTATATTTTATTATACATCTGTATACACACATACATACATACATACATATATATATATATATATATATATATATACTTATATATAACAATGGAGCTCTCGATCAAATGATTCAGTAAAACTTGAAAACGGCTGAGCCGATTTGGTCACTCTTAGTCTTGAAAAATTTGTGCTAATCAGTAGGTTGTCGGAAAGGTGAGATGTTATTTCAAAATCGCGTAGAA